CTTCTATTCTAATTTTACTCCTATTGAATGATGGCAGAATATCTAAATTCACCATCAAAATATAGTGGTAGAGATGGATTCACTTCTGAACAAAAAAAGGGACAAATTTACTTACAAAATTTTTAACTTGGGCAAATTACTCAAAATTTAAGGTTAAATGCTTATTTTGGTCCCTTAACTTTATCAGTTTGCACATTTTTGGTCCTTAAAGTATTTTGTGCATATTTTTGATCCCTTAACTTTAAGAAATGCACAACGTTTGTTCTTTCGTCAATTTAAGCCGTTAACTCTGCCCATATGGCATTTTTTATATTTTTTATGACATGGAGAAGACAACAACTTTTTTTTTTTTATGACATGTCATCTTCCTGGGCCAAAACCCCTCCAATGCCCCTCCAATGGGTGCCATGCTACCTGCAAAAACCATCGACCCTGTTTGTTCTCCTTTAAAGTTCACTCAAAACCATACATTTGTTGGGATTCCAAAGATTTTTCACAGATTTCACTAATTAATCATCATTAAAATATGGAAACAAATGGAAACCCACTAAAAAATTCTTCTTTGCCAATCGGTCACTACTTCTGTTCTTTTCATCGCCAGCGATATTCTTTCCATTTTGAAGATTAAAATCATTTAGACAACAGTTAAGAAATATGAAGCAAAAGGATCCCAAAAATCCCTTACAACCTGCAATTTGCATAAACTCTTCGCAACAAAAATATAACAAAAAAAAAAAATGGAGCTGGGTTTAGTGGAACCTAGTCGCTGGGTTCCTCAAACCCAGCAAATCTGGGTTTTAGGTTCGACGAAACCTAGCAAATCTGGGTTGATGGAACCCAGCCTGGGTTCCACCGAACCTAACAGATCTGGGTTTGATGGAACCCAACAGGTGGGTTCCAACAAACCCGAGCTGGGTTCCCTTGAACCCAGATCAGCTGGGTTTGAGGGAACCTAGCAACACAGAGGAGGAAGAGGAAGAAAGAAAGGAAGAAGATGGATCGAAAGAGGGGAAGAAGATGGATCAAGAAAGGGAAATAGGGGTATTAAGGTAAATTTGTAGTTTTTTATTTTTTATTAAAAATATAAATGTTAATCTATTTTGGTATATGTGGGACATGTCATTAAAAAAAAAATCCAGATCATCACCTTTTTAAGTTGTTTTCGTTATATCATAAAAAAAGTTATAAAAAATGCCATGTGGCGAAATTAACAGCCTAAATTGATAGAAGAATAAATGTTGTGCATATTTTAAAGTTAAGGGATAAAAAATGTGCATAAAATACTTTAGGGACCAACATTGTGCAAACTGATAAAGTTGAGGGATCAAAATGAGCATTTAACCTAAATTTAACATGTGACATCATTTGACTTCAGCAATTCGATATTAGCAACATAACAAATTAACGGATTGTTGACATCAAATGATGTTACACATTAAATTTGGGGTGATTTGTCCAGGTTAAAAATTTTGTGGATGAATTTGTCCCCGTTTTTTGTTCGGGGTGGATCCATCCCTACTATTATACTTTGTGAGTGAATTTGAGTATTTTACAAAAATAAATATCATAGCAATATTGATCGCTATAACGAAATTACTGCCAGCAAATTTTAATTTCTAGCTTTGGCCAAAAAATAGGGTTTAAGAAATGTTGAGGAGGACACATATAAATATATAATCATCACATCATTGACATTTTTAAGGATCAAATCTTAATAAATACAGCAGGCAATTAATAAATCCTATTCCCCACATTGCTTGCGCGACGTTGATTGTTAACTCTTTGTTAATTTATGTTCAGATTAATGTATGTGATGATAGTTTAGAAGTTAAACACGTTGGCTGCTGAAAAAGTTGAAATGCATGCATCTTATTATTCTTGTCATCTGCCTAACTTCTGCATGCTTTCTGCTCTTTTCTTCAGTTCCTATTACTCCATAGGACTTCTGCTACAAGATGGCCAAGGGTACCGACTCGTACTGATGACCCAGCTGAAAATTTCAAACCTTAAAATCATTTAATTCATTTCCGCATTGACAAAAAACACATTTGATTTCAGTCTCCTCTTCTTCATCATCTTGGGTTTTCCTTGTTCCTTCTCATTCTGGAAACAGAAACATATCTTCACCGAACCCGGCCCCTCCATGTAGGAACCGTATGTATTTCTTCTGTAGCTCTTATTATTTTTGGTTTTCAGATTTTGTATGTAGTTCATTTGATCTTTTGAGTTATATATACTTTGGAAAACTTTAGTGTTGTTTGAGCCTGGAGCTCAAGGTTCTAATTCGGTGTTGGGGAAAAATACTAGTAGGCATACCACATGCATCAGATTGTTGATTAGTTGATTTAAACATGGATAACTCAAAATACCAGCCTAATGATCAATTGGGTGTGAACAAGCTGGGAAAGAATATAAGGAAGAGTCCATTGCAACCCAGTTTTACTAATAATGCTACAAAGCAGCAACCCCAGCCTCATGTTTACAACGTAAGCAAGAATGATTTCCGAAGTTTTGTACAGCAGCTAACGGGTTCGTCTTCACAATCACAAGAACCTTTACCCAGGCCTCCACAGAATCCTCCCAAACCTCAAAGCCAGAGGTTGCAGAAAATTAAGCCTCCCCCATTAACGCCAGTCAACTCACCACTCATTCCTCCTCAGGTCCCGGTCGAAGTTCCAGCCCCAGCCCCAATACCATCTCCAGTTCCACTTCCACCACAAGCTGCAGAGTCCCCTATCTCAGCTTACATGCGTTACCTTCAAGCATATATCATCGATCCAAGTCCAGTAAGAGGCCAAGTTCAACCTCAACCGCAACCCCCCGTCCCGGATCAGTCTCAAACTCAACCACCCTCTTCTGGATTACTTCCCAATCCACCAATGCCCCCATTCCCCTCTCCGAGCGGAGTAAATGGCCATTTAACACCAATACCTAATATACTTTCCCCAAGAATGAATGGACCTGCTTTTTCTCAGTTTCTTTTGCCATCACCCACTGGTTTCCCCAACTTCTTGTCTCCTCGCTCCCCTTATCTTTTACTATCCCCTGGAGTTCAATTTCCTTCAATGACACCCAGATTTCCTTTTTCACCCCGGCCTCAGTGAGGGATTTTAGGTTCAGGGCCTCAGCCTCCACCTTCCCCTGGCATGGTATTTCCACTATCAAGTCCTAGATGGAGGGATCATTAGTCTAAAACGTAACAATATATTGTCGCTTTCAGGAGTTTCATGCTTGCTTAGGAAACATGACCCTTATGCTGGAAGAATCTGTAGGATAGTTTTCCTTTGGTTCAATATTTTACCCTTTTGGTTTTTGTCTGTTCTTTTGTTGTGTTGATTGCCATTTCACAACATCGTTTTCGGGCTAAGATTTTGTTGTGACGACAGCAGCATTTTGGAATTATCAGCTGTAACAAGAAAGACAGCTATACAACTTGTAAGGAGCTATGATTACAGTCATCAAAATCGAACAAAGTAGTCAAGCTAGTGGGAGAATTCTTGTGTGTGTTGGAATCTGTACTATTGTGGATTAAATGTTATATAATCAGTTTGAACTTTGTGGAAATAAAATCATCAAGCATTATTCACCGATTCATTACTGTTTATCACTTTTATTGTAACATGATATGTAGAATTAGAGGTTATGTCTTCTTTTTTCTTTTCTTTTTTTTTTTTTCTTGTGGGGTATCAATTCCAGTCTCAATGTTCAGACTTGATTTTTGAACTATAACAATTAGGTTCGAGTATTTTCATCATTTCCCTTTATTTGACTTGCATATGAAAAATGTTTTTACAAAAGAAAATAAAGTTTCAAATTGAATTGTAAGGTGTTGGTAGGTACTGTTAACCCATAAATAAATTTGGTCCTTGGAGATTTGTCGTTATATATACAAAGTCATTTATTCCCTGGGAAAAGGTTTGAAAATTTTCTTTCTTTCCTATTGCAATGTGGAATACTGGAATTAGTGGAATATATGTATGATATAGGATGGAGAATTTTCTCTCCTATCTCATAGACTTTCTTGAACCATCCAGTCATTTTAAAAGACGTTTCGATCGTCCTTGGGAAAATGTCAGAGTTTGAGGATGATCCTCGCAAGTTGAAAAATGAAGACTTTTTTTTGACATAAAACCCATCATAAAACCTTAGAACGGAAAAAAGGAAGAACAGAAGTTTAAAGATGAGAGGCATGGCATCATCATTAATTCAATTCCTTTAGGCATGGAGGACATTGGTTGAGAAATGGGTGTTACGTTACACGCCCGTAACAGAAGCATCATATATGATTACAAATTGGTAATGGGTCCCATATTGCATCTAATTATTTTGATTACCATTCTGGTAAAAATATATAAAAATATTATTTTATAATTAGTTCTATGTAGACTCTGCTTCATTTTTATGAAAATATAATATTACTCCATTTATTTGTTTAAATAACACGCACCTTTGCACTTGAACTTTTGATCCAGTGACATTATGTCACATGTAAGTGTATTTTTTTTTTTAAGTAACGGTTCAATTTTCACCCTCGTGAATTTGTTTAAAAAATAAAATAAAATAACACGCAACTTCAAATGAATTTGGTTGCCTGTAGCTTAACATCTTTTCATTGTTCGACGGAATGAATAAAATAGCTTTCTTAATTTAGATTTTGTTGAGTGAAATTTATAAGTATTTTAATTTTTTAATATTATTTATGTTTCATAAATTTAAATTTTTTTTAAAAAATTAATATTTTTAATATTTTTAATCTTAAAAAAATCTTAAATAATGAATTTGAAAACTTTCAAATTTTTATTTTTTATAAATTTTTTGACTCACTTTTTACTCTCTTTTTATCATTTTTAAAAATAATTTTTAAATATTTTATCTAATAAAAATTTAAATTTATAATTCATAAACAGTACTAAAAAAAATAAAAACTCTAATAAACTCTACCAAATATATATACCTTTAATGATTTAAATAATTTAACAATAATTTTTTTAAATAAAAAATTTTAAATTTAAATTATATAATATATAAGTAAAATAAAATATAAAAAAATTACTCTTCATTTCGAAAGTCAGGATAATTTTTTTTTTTAAAAAAAAGTTCTCTTGGATCGGAGATGCCATCTACAGCCCCTTTACTTTACTTATAGTGGTGGCCATCACCCTGTCCCACACGAAAGAGCCAATAATTAAGCAAAGAAAATGGCTGAAAATGGGACAAGATAAAATAAAATAAAATAAAAGGTTCTCATTTGAGACCCACCTAAACTTCGCACCTCCTCTACTAAAAGCACAAAATCTTCCTTTCCTTTCTTTATAATGGTCAAGTTGCACAAGTTGCAGCTCTCACAATTGGCCTTTCCCCTACCAAAGATAGGCATGTCCCTTTCCATACACTTTATTGAGTTGAGGGTGGTGCCCTTCACGTGGTCTAGAGAATTCCATCAAACCCCTCTTTTAATTTCCCCCACCCAATGTGTGGTCGTTAATTTTTCTTCTTTTTACTAATATAACTTTTACTTAAAATTTTATATGAATGTATGACCATCAACTCTTCATGTATACCAATCACATCCTTCCCGGGCAGCCCTTGAATTGGATGTTCCAAAAATAAAAAGCCCAGCTTTGATATGTACTAAACAATCTTCATGTCCCAACATTTCTCCAATCACATACCAAGTTTTTGCGATCCAATCGATTTGTGGATAAAGATCGACTCTTACACCACGAGATTCTAAAGAGTACTTCTTTTTTATCAAACTTAATTAGTTGTTTTAATTTGATTTTAAAATAAATTTAATTAGATAATTTTATATAATAAATAAATAATAATTAATTTTTTATATATAATTCTTATTGGATATTTTTATTTAAATTAAATTTTTTTAATTGTTTTTATTTTTTTATTTTGGTTGCATAATGAAAAGCAATTATTTTCTATCATTTATCTTATCCTACCTGCATGTCATATGATTTGAACTCAAAATCTTTTATTTTCAACAAAAAGAGATAACTACTCAACTATTTAGGTCATTAACTTTTCAATTTTTATTTATTTATTATCTAGAATTATAATGTCATATATTTGTTCCTATCCAATACCAATGGAGAAAGAACCATCCAATACCAATGGAGAAAGAACCAACCAATAACCAAAATTCTCCAAGCCTGATCGACGTTGTGGCAACCCCACCACGGACTAAGACACTAAAGTCATAATTAGCAACATGACCACATTTTGATAGAACTATGGATGGGGTCATGAATTTGTTAGAAGTAACATTTAACTAACTATGGCGCACTAGTTCAATCCCAAGTCGTTAGTGGCTAGGCCTCCTAAGGTGTTTAAATCCTACGTATAGTAGGTCTTGAAAAAATATATCCCCCTTTCCTCCAAATTCTTCTGTTCAAAAAATATAAATATAGAGAGAGTACTCAATACCTTTTGAAAATTACAACTGCTCACTTTAAACCCATTGATTGTATTGAAGATTAATTTGTGTACTACTCTTCCTCCCCCTAGCCTCATGCAACTGATTTGTGTACTCTTCCTCTTTCTAACCTCATGCAACTGCTCGCTTGTTAAATGATTATTAGATATAGAAGGGTACCAAGGAGGACGTAGCTCTGGATTGTCCAATTTCTTAATATTGATATATTTGTACTTAATTTAAGATCGTGAAACATAAGATCCCAGGGCCTAAGGATTAAATTTACTACTATTTTTGTCTTAAAATAATTATTTTTTTATTTTGAGTTTATTTTAAATTAATTATCATTTTTTAAGATAAAAAAATATTTTTTCTTACTTTAATTTTATTATTATTTATTTATTTTGATTATAAATTTTATCACGAAAAGTTATACTTTATCTTTTAACATTTTCTTTAAAACAATATAAATAAATATATAAATAGTCTTCAAATCTTTAATTAAAAAAAGAAAAGAAAATAACAATTATCATAAGATAGAGTTAGTAATAAGTAAGTATTGTATTATAAAATAAATTCAAAATTTCACTTCTGGTGCCATCATTAAAAGAAGTTAACTTTCTTAAATAAATTAGACAAATATGAGATTAATTACTAAATAAAAGATTGGTTTTTAGAGTCTATAAAAGTTAACATAGAAGCAACTCACCGAATTCAACCCTGAATAAAACTAAAAAAAGAAAGGGACATTATTTCCACACTGTAATATTACGTACAACACGAATTTTTCTTAATTCTAAACCGAACTATACGTAGAACAATAAAACCGTTTGAAAGGAAAAGGGATATCCATGTCGTATAATTTGACTTCACAGATAGTACCTAGGATATAGAAAGGTTAAAGAAAAATAATGTTTCGTTCGGTTGAAAAAGTGAAGATGAATATTTATTTGTAATACGAAACTAATTGAGTTTTTATTTATACTTCACGTAATATTATAGACAAATGCTTAAAACAATTAACACCTACTTTAAAGGGTTAATTAATTATAAATTTTTATAAAAAGTATATTTTTTATTTTAAGTAATGGGTTCAAATCCCTATTTAAATTTGTGTTTGTTAAAAAAAAATCTTAAAACAATTAACGATTCAAGCCAATGGTTTATTAATATTTGTTGTTTTTGAGAACAAAAACGGATTAAGAATGAACATTCCATTATTATGACTAATTTATACTAATTCGACATTTAATAATGCCCAAAATGAAAAAAGTAAAAAGAAGCCATTTTGAGAAAAAAAAAATTAATGTTATCTTTAAAATATAAAAAGGATAACCAATTTTAAACAAAAATTTGGTCAAGAAACCATACTACCTATCTTCAAATATGCTGTCTACCCTTAGATTAGGGTTGTTGACCAGCCAAATTAAGTACTCATGTTCGAGCTAGCTCACCTTAATCGTTTGAATTTGAATGGAACTCGAGTATATGTTGAGCTCAAAATAATTGATGTTGTGCTCACGTTTATAAGTACTTAAACGAATTAGAGTTTACTCACGGGTTCAAGCCAATATAACAAATAATTTAACTTAAATTCGAGTTTTTTTTTTTTTTTTTTTTTTTTTTTGTGTAATTCTAAATGTTTCAATATATAATTACTCAATCAATAATTTTATTACCAAAAGCTTAAACATATTAAGTGTAGTAATTAAAATAGTTTTGATACTCCATTTAATATTTTATTAATAGTTATGATTCAAAATATAAAATTTATTTCAATTAACTTTTTAACTCTGTTAAGTTTACAAATTATTATATATTTAAATTTAATAAATAAATAATATAATATAATTTTTAACTCTAAACCGAATATTCATGAATAACCTACTAGTAATTATCAAACTCGAGCTCATTTTTTTATCAAACTCAATATCATGCTCGAGTTTGAGTAATTCAAAAGTTACTCACATAACTATTCTACTCATTAATAACCCAACTTTACACATACAATAACTTAGGACTTTTACAATAACAAAAGGGTTTATTATTTTAAAATTTAA